CAGCCCCCCCCCAGTCTATCAGCATGGTTCCATGCATCCAGCTCTGCTTTTCATCACTAATGAGGTTCACCAAGAGAAAAACAACTAACTGGCTCTTCATACTAGGAGAGTGTCAGCCCAGTTCCACTTGAGTGTCAGGCCCAGCTTGGAAGTGACTTGGAAGTAAGTACAGGTGTCCTCAATCAGGATGCTCTTCAAGCTGAAGGGCATGGGGATCCTGGAAATTGGAGGGAACAAAACAGATTGCATTGTAAAAAGACCGATGAAATCCTATCAGAGATACAGGAAGAAAAACTAGAGTCAAAAGGAGTTAAATAAGCTATGGATATGTTCTTTCCAAGGTCAGCCTTCATCCACACAATGCATTAAATTTAGCTATGATCACTTTGTCCACTATGACCTTTTAACAACCGTAATCCACAACACAATGTAGTATGGTCATGAGTGTGTCAACACTACATTAGCCACCTGACTGATACCAATGCAGCTCTGTTTGATTACATATCCCAAGGACCTAACCCAAAAGCCAAGGAGCAAGATCATGATACTGGGAAAATGACCCTCCACATGAGGACACTGCAGCTTCTCATCATCCCTACAACCTTTCCTTGGCATTTGGGATTCACAGAGCTGTGAAAAGAGTTCTGTTCTGTTACTCAGGTACTGACATGACTCAGACCTAGATTATTTTTTATCTCACCAATGCACTTACCATTCATTTTCCCAGAGACTGAAAAAATTCAAAAAATCAGAAAATGGCTTAAAGATAGGAGATTTCTTGTTCCTTTTATTTAGAAGATACATGTGGGCTTTGCTACTACAATTACATCTAAGTGATACTATTCTATTTTTGGTTGTTTCTAGAAGGATGTCAAGAGAAGACAGCCCATGTGTTTGCAATTTTCTCTCCAACAAGATTGTGAGGATTTTTCCCAGAGTTAAAGCTTGTCTTGGCCCTTCATACCTATCTATATGCTGGAAGCAGGTCACTGCATTTCTCATGAGGGCTACCCTTAAAATTGTGCCCAACTTTCAACTACTGTTGCATATGACATTTTACTTGTGGAGTATTTTTACCCTTCTGTTTGCAATTCGCTTTCTGGTTCATTTCATTTTGGAATGAAAAGCGTAGATTTTGACTTCTTGAAACTTCTGTCTTTTGTGTAAGAGGATCCCAAGACAAGCTGTGATCTGCAAAGCAGTCCAATTTTCTAGAATAATCTATCTGGAAACAGAAAATGTTTTCTAAAAGGACCATCTGTTCCTGAACAACAATGTACAAGAGTAAGTTAGAAATAATGTTCTGAGAAAAAAAATACGAAGGTTTTACAAAATCAAAACCTTCTATAAATAAAGTGTTGATTTAATCTCTTTCCCTCCAACCCTCCCTCCCAAATCAGGAAACCTAGACCTTCTGTTTTTATAACATACACATTGCCTTTTCTTAACATGTTGGTGTTGATCTCTGGGAGATGCAGTTTACATGCTTCTTGCCTCCTCCACCACTTTGCAATACCTTGTTCAAAGTGCTATGAACATATCATACCCAGCCGTTTGCATCTCTGCAGAATAGGACCACTTTCTAGAGAGACCACCTGTTGCTAATACATAGCAATAGAACTCCTGTACAAGAAAACAATGCTATGGTCTTTACTCACTTGTTCCCATTCACTGTGATGCCTGTCTCCTTCACCTCCAAGATCATTCCATCAATAGTGACAGTGAAGTAGATCAGGAAGCTATTCTTGGCACTGCGCCTGATTTGGATGTTAAAGTCCTGATAGCTGTCGTTGCAGTGCGAAGCAAAGACATATGTGCAGGTTCCAGGAAAAGTGAACTTAACATGGTCAAATGTATGAAAGTGGAAGTTGCCCCAGGTAGCACATTCACTCCTACTGACAGTAGAGACCTGGACTGAAGAAAGAGTCATAGGAAAGCGGCTTAGTAATTCACCACACATGAAGTGCTTACCTTTTTTTTTTTTTTGTTGAAAAACATTAAAGGAGATATTTTCAAAGGCAAAAATGTTAACCCCTGGAAGATGCTACCTTGTGGGAAGGAGTTTCACCTCACTGAACTTTTGAAGTCCATGCCAGAGATACCTCCAATGTGAGCAGGTGAGCCCAGGCTCCTCTGAAGTAGAAGAGGTTCAGCTTCCCTATCTTACATATCTACCTAGGACGAAGATGACCCAAGAGTGCATGTTTCTCTCCGGTGTCTATAAAGGTTGTGGAGGGGTGCCAGTGTAGATGACATCCCCCAATATTTACATTGTAGATACTTTTCCACTCTAGATGTCTAAAGTGAAGTGAGGGGAATCCCCTCCTGGCTGCCTAAATCTCATTTCTATTCTTGAAATCATGCTTCTTAACACAGGCAAGACTTTGGTCCCAAGTCTTAAACTGAGTACCTTTCAGGAGACAGCACAGGTGACATGACTCTTCAGTAAAATGGCAGCTGCTGATCTCAGCAATTGAGGTTGCCACCAGATTCAGCAGTCAGCTCAGAGATACTTGTTTTTCATCTCAACAAAAACTCATGCCTGGGATGTCTAACTTGTACGTCTGTTAAAGGCATTGATACATACTTTAAGTGCATGTAAGACATGACTTCAGAAAATAGTTGAAAATGGGCAAAATTCTTTGTGTTGTTTATTGCAGCACATTCAGGAAAATCATCATAGCAACATCCATCACTGATCAAATCAAAACCAGTCATTAATGTACTCAGTGAACTCTAGAATATTATTAAATACTCCTACCTAAGAACCAGCAGGGGAACACTGAAAAATTCAGATCTTGATGTTAGAAATGCATAACACAAGTGCCAAGAAGTCCTTACAGAGACAGCTATTTAGAGGGACTGTCATTTGCCATAGGCATTGACAGCACTAAAATGGAGTAGGGTAATTTTGCACTTTTCTACACAAGGAGGGGAAATGGGGAAATGAGAAAGTTTGGCTATTCTTGGAAGAGGAGTTGCTAAAATTAGTAAAACTGCAATAATTATCACATCAATTCTTTGTGTATTAAGCACCTGGGGAAAGTGTAAGACATTCGAAACCAAAGCAGGAGGTAACAGTGCAGCAGACCACAAAAAGTGTGATTACTCCTAATGCAGTATTTCATACTGGCCAATCAAGCCTAGCAGGAATTACGGTAACATACTTCTATAAAGAATATATGTGAAATGTGTTGAAAAGGGTGTCACCATTTTTTTTATAATGCAAACTTCTTCCAGAGAGTCTCCTCTTTAAGATTAGTCACTTAGGACATAAACCAGTTGATAGTAGTGAAAGAAAAAAAAATTAAAATACTTAAATGGTTGACATTAAAGATGACAGTGTATATTGTTAAACAGTATCTGGCATGCCTACAGATCTTACATGAATACATTACACATTTTCATTTGACAGCTCTATTTCTCACCTAAGGAGAGCAATATGTGAGCAAATAATCTGAGAATGAGATTTTTTCTTACCTATCTGAACTGGTTCTTTGCCCTTGCAACAACTCCAAATTAGGCAGAAGATCCAAAATGACCTCCCCTTTTTTATTTCCATCTTGCCATGAAGCAGTAACTTGAAAATCCTTCCAGGGAAGTGTTTTTTTCTTGGCTTATAGGCAGTTTTTTATAGTCCAGGAATTTGGCGTGAGAACAAAACTTTGACGGCAGGGTCCCTGAAAGGTGGAGCTTCATTCAATTTTCTTTCAGTGGTTCACGTTTAGCACCCAGCAACCTCCTGTCTTTCAGACAAGACAGGTATAGAGTTTGCTCTTGCTTTATGTGGAGACAGAGAGCTGTCCTTTTCTTATTCCCTTTCTTTAATACAGATCCCCCCACCTCTACAGTGTTGCTTTTTCTTTGGCAACAATAGTTTTCTTATTTTTGTCTGATCAGTAATAAGAAATCATTGCCCTCTTTCAGGGCTTTTCTCTGGCTTGCATGTCAGCACAGTCCCCCAGCTCAAGAGAAAGTGTTGCCTCTGTTAGCTTGATGGCAACCTCAAAGTGTTAGAGCAAAAAATATTGTAAAGCTCAGGTATAATGTATAGTTTATTTAGAGCAAAAACTTCTGGCAGGAGGGCAACGTCCCTTAAGAAGTATATCCAAAACATCCTACCAAAAAGGTCAGAGACTGCTTCAACAGACTAGGAGTGACGTTAGTGCACGAAGTGCAAACTTCTCACCTCTGCTGCACAAATGGGATTCAACTGCATCAGTCAGACATGGAAAGTTAATTTATTCTTTAAGCACACAGAAGTGGTGGTTTCTCCAAACACCACTTTCTCCAAAAAGCAGGGCCCAAGTCCCACCAAAATGTAGACCACAATTCACTCCTTCACCTCCCATATTATGTATTACACTCTTGCTATCAGAGTGCTTTCATACCCTAGCTCACACCCATAAAAAATGCAGTGGGCTTAGTTATGAACTCATCTACATTCCACAGTAGGACAGCTCTTAGAGACCCTGTCGCAGTTGTTTGATGTCAGCAATTTTAGGGTCTCTTTTAGAGATCTACTTGCTCTGTTGGCACAAGCTGACCTAGTGTTTCTTCACCTTATTCGTGCCATGTGGGAGCTGCTCCTGACACAGAGGAAGCCTCTCACCTCTTCCCTGCAAATCAAACACAGGTAACAGTCCTTCCCCCACTTTCAACTCTTCCATGCGCCTTTGGGAGTGCACTAATGCCAGAACGATTGCCAGTAGTAAGTGGGCACAAATACAGTTTGAAGTGGGAGTAGTTTCACCCCTATTGCAAGTCCTCAGGTCGAGTGTGTCTGTGCACTCCCTGGGGAATATGCATGGCCTTTTATCTGCTTGGCAGACAGCAAGCTGGTCCTTGAGGACTGCGCCTTGCTCACTGCTTTACCAAGCTTTCTGGCATTTACTGCATCCCAGAGCTGGCCCACTGTTTCTTTCAGTCGTTCCCCCTATGCAGTTATGACCTGCTTACCAAGTGACTTATAGAACTGCGGGTACAAACATCTGCCAGATGAAGATTTGCTGCTGCTGTTGCCCTTAAGAAAATCCTGCACTAACAGGTGAGAGCATTGTGCCGTACATGAAACATGAGTTCACGTTACCCCTTTCCCACTGTCCGTGCCCCATTAATTCCATTGTCAGTCGCACTTGAGGCAGGGCACTACTGGAAGGTAAAGTCTGTTCTTGAAGCCCTGCCAATTTGGCTGGAATACAGAATGAACAACCTTTATGGCACCAGTAATGGGAGTAATAGGCTTCTGATGGTTTTCCTTTTAATCACAACATATCTGCCTGCTGATCGCCATCCGAATAGTTACAGAGTAAACCAGCAGAATATCTAGTAGATAAACTGAACCATGAGAATATGACATTGTAGATATGAGAATGATCTGAAATCGAGTACAGTGCAATAGTAACACTCAAATTTAGCAGATTCCCCACGGTAACTTTCAAATCGAGTTCTTGTTCATGGCACAGCGTTAATGGCAGGTGGGAGAAAGGGAGAAGAACATGGGTCAGTAGACCACAGACACTGACAAAGAGAGCTTAGTTGAGGATAAAGACAAAAAGATGAAACCTACTAATTCTCCCAAATCAAAGACGGTGTCAAAATCCAAATGCAGAACTCTGTTGAGTTAGAGTCAATTTTTTTTTAGTCATGGTCCTCTTGCTTTCCCATTCCCACCCAGTAAATCAAGACACCTATTTCATTCATATGAGAGCAGAAAGAAGATCAGGACTCTAGGAGTGTGATTCCTGACCCTAGGAAAAAAAAAAAAAAAAATCACTTTATTCCCAGTGGGCAGCACAAAACCATCAGGAACCACATATGAACTACTTGCCAACGACACCCTGTAAGTAGTCCTTAGATAACAAAGACACGGTGAGGCTGACCACTGCAACTCCCAGCCCTTTGTGGGGTGGTTCAGGGGAAAGACAGGGTGGGCAGGAGGGATGAGCTAAGGCATGATTTCCCCCTCCAAGCCCCACTTAGCACTTAGGAAAAACATTCCCAGTTTAGTCTGGGAAAAACATGAACAGCACATGTTAAAACTGTGTCAAAGGAACAGACAGAATAAAATAAATAGTTCATCGAACCACCATCCATTCATCAGAAAAAGGAATATTAGTCACCTGAGATCCTCCCCTGAGAAAAAGCAAGAGTACATCACTTACTGCTCAGAGAAACAGGAAAACCAGTCCTCTTGCTCTGTATCTAGCCATTTTCTTACCTCTGCTTGTCTGCTCTGTTATTTTTTTCATTCCTTTACCATTTCTTGGGGATAACAGTTCCTCTCAGTGACTAACCAGAGCTGCTGCTTCTGACTTCTCCACACAGAGTGCTGGCTACACTCCTTAGAAATCACCAGATGCTTCAATCCCCTGCAATGATTTCAGGGCTACTGACAGGGGAAGGATATTTGCATTCAAATTATGTTTTTATGTTTAAGTGTGGCAACACTGAGGTTTTTGGAAGAAATACACGGTCGCTTTTTAGAAGGAAATTCAGATTGAAGGGAGCTTGTGAATATGTGATCACTTACCACCGAATCATTGATATTGCAGGCACGCAAATGATAACTATTCCCCCTGCAGTGACATACTGGGATAAATAACTCCTCCCTTTATTGGGCCCTGCAGCATAAGAGGCCTTCAATCTGCTGCAGCTGTACTAGCAAAAAGAACAATTCCTCTTGGCCCCTTTACAGCCCATTTCATGGATCATTTGCCATTAAAGGGTATGTGATTTTAGTAAATACAATAGGTAAATATTAACTCAGCTTCTTTATCACCACTGACTCACTGGAGATAAGCCACTATGAAGCTAATGCAGTACACCAGTGACTCACATCTCATATTTTTTAATACAGAATTGGTAAAGAGTCACTCAGATTGGGGACATCTGGTGAATTAATGCCATTCATAGCCAGCCACCATACTGAAGCCTGGCAGTTGCATTTGTATCATATTCCTCTGTCAAACAGCGATCCCATACGTACTGTAAAGTGTTCAGATACCAAGACTTTTCAAACATACCATCCTGGGGCTGTCCAAGCACTGGTGGGTTTAGTTTGGATGTTCTCTAATATTCTAGTTCATTTCAGGCAAAGCTGATACTGCTTCTTAAAATGTCAGTCCACAATAAAATGGTGTTCTACAAGCAATGCCTACATAATGACTCTAGAGAAATGCTGTCTCCTTCATTAACAAGATAATGCTGGCTAGGGAAACAATATTTTGGGTTTGGTGTCAAGCCCTCTTGTGCTGATAATCCACATGATAAAAAGAATCTGAAGTTAATTTAGCAAAATATTTTACATAATTGATGGTTACAACACTAATTTGCACATTCTAAATTGTCAGAAGAATTCAAGAACAACATGGATCATATATTTAGCCATGATATAATCACATAAAATTTAGCAAATTCACATCAAAATTTATTTGATCCATCAGGTTTGCATTCACCCCTCAGTTTGAAATGACTGGCAGTAAGTATAAGGTGATCTATAACAGTTAGAGGAAAAGCCAGGAATGGATCTCTGTCATTAAATGTCAATTAAAATATATGAAAAATGTCTTCAGTATTTTAATTTTGATAGGAGATGGTTGGGTGTTTTCTTACATTTTGCCTTAGAATGAACACAAAGCTCCTTAACGTCCCCTCCTGCCATAGGATTTATTGACTTTTCCTGAAATAATCAAGGACATTAGTTACTCCTGTTTGCAAGGAATCAGTTCAGCTGCTCTTTTCTGGTTTCTGGTGAGGCTTTTTGGTTGGTTTTATTGTTTGTTTGTTTGGGTTTTTTTAAGATGTAGATCTTTCAAAATCCACATACAAGGAATAATGACATGTCTGATTTGTGTTTGTGCACACAGGTCTCATTGACCTATTGGCACTTCCTCACGTAAGAAAGACTCCCTGCACAGAAAGCCATCTCACCAGGAGGTTGGGCCCTTGAGCTTTTTCTACTTGAAAGATTTTTCTTTCTTAAAGAGCCTTCCCAGTGAAAAATATGAGTAGCAGAACAAACGGAACCCAGGGCCCTGTGTGGGGAAGGGTATGAACATTCTGCTTTAAGAATTTAAGCTTTATGGGTTTCAGTCTAAGGCAGATTCCACCCCTTTTTTTAAAAAGCAACTTCTTATTTCATGGATGCCAAGACAATTCAGAAAAAGCCACTGCATACTTAATACTGAAGTCTCTATGACCCTGAAAGTACATGAAATTTCATACACAGTAACCACATCCACCATGACTGAAACTTATGGCAAGACAAAAGAAAAGCAGAGAGATAGAACAGAGAACAGGATGATGCGAGAAGCTAAGCAACCTTGGCCTGTTATTCTTATAAATTTGAGTTATACTATGTCTCTATTAAGGATCTGATTTAAAATTCTGTCAGAGCATTTCTACCGGACTCATGAGATTATGATCCTTCCAGCATGAACTGTGGCACTTTGCAGTAAGCAACTGGAGTTCTTATGTCATCCAAGTTGCAGAGCTTGCCTTTTCTTGAACACTGTAAAACCAAAGCAGTTTTGTAGGTAGCTGAATATCAATTTTCTTTTAAATTCAAATGACTATCCAG